GAGCATGGTGCCAATCTGTCCACATTTTGGTTACTATTTCTCTGAATTATTGTAATTAAAAAACTAGTGGTAGATTACTCAGATTTAACATTAAATCTGAAATAATCAAATATGGCCTCATGTGCTGGACATTAAATTGGTTTATTATTATAGATACATTTTTATTGATTTCAGAGAGGGAGAGAGAGAGAAACATCAGTGATGAGAGAGAATTATTGATCAGCTGCCTCCTGCATGCTCACCACTGGAGATCAAGCCCACAACCCAGGCATGTGCCCTGACCGGGAATAGAACTGTGAGCTTCTGGTTCATGGATCAACACTCAACCACTGAGCCACACGGGCCGGTCTCAACATTATTCTTTACAGCCTTAGCACTTCCTGAGATTATACCATGTCACTATTGACCAGTTTAGCAGTGAGTAAGCATGCAGAGGCTAAAGCCAAACTACCTCAGTCAAATCCCAGCTCTGGTACTTACTTGCTATGTGACACGTGGTTGCTTATTCTGTCTTCGTTACAGTTTGGGGATAATGATAGTACGTGTCTGAGGATAGATGAATGAGTGTATGTACCAGTGTTCTAGCCTTCTGCTTCCCCAAAAGGCTCTCAATTACCTATTAGCATACCCTGTTTTCCAATGGTCTGTGTTCCCCATTTTTAATAGTCAATCTGCCCCCACCAAAATATAAACTCTATTTTGTTTTCCAGCATCTCCCCAGTAAGCACTGGGTTAGGAAGATGAAAGACTATAAATGGCAGGCTGGCTAGTAGAGCTAGCGCTTCATCGTGCTTCATATTGCTATGGTGACAACGGAGCCTGCCAGGAGATTCCGTTTTAATAAACCCCAGCCCATTGGCGACGTGTACCTGAAAACTACAACTCCCAGCAGGCTAAGCGCCGCCAGCACCGTCCAAGCTGTGCGCCTGCGCAGTACAATCAGCTGGCCCCTGGCTCTTGAGTATTTGTGGGGGCGCTAAGGATGGGGACCCGGACAGAGGAACGTGAATCCTTTGCTCGCGGAGCATTGCAGGGCCCCTCGACTCAACCGGTGGGAGGGGTCTGGTTCAAGGGCCGCATGAGGGGAGCAGAGGGGACCGCTCCGGTCTCCATGGTGACGGGCCGGCCTCGAGACCAAAGAGGATTAATGCAGGAGGATGGAGAGGAAGCCAAAGGTGGACGTTGCCATGGTAACCTTAGGGCCAAAGGAGGCGGGGTGAGAGCAAAGGAATTAGTCAGCGGTTCTCAACCTGTGGGTCGCGACCCCTTTGGGGGTCGAACGGCCCTTTCACAGGGGCTGCCTAAGACCATCGGAAAACATATATAATTACATATTGTTTTTGTGATTAATCACTAGGCTTTAATTATGTTCAATGTGTAACAATGAAAATACATCCTGCAGATCAGATATTTACATGATGATGCATAACAGTAGCAACATTACAGTGATGAAGTAGCAACGAAAATGATTTTATGGTTGGGGGTCACCACAACATGAGGAACTGTATTACAGGGTAGCGGCATTAGGAAGGTTGAGAACCGCTGGGATTAGTGATAACAGGAGAGGCATCAGAATAACGGGAAAATAAGCGCCTTAGAGAATGTGATGGGAGGCATCGGCTGGAGATCAGGGGAGCCGGTGACTCTAGGGGAACAGGGGTTTTGAAGGAGGGGGAGTGTTTTAGTGAATTCGTATGTAATCAGGGGCTTTAGGTGGTCATTGGAAAAATCAGCATGCTAATAGATACGGATGATTTGGGGGCAATGGAAAGGCAGTGGGGAAAATAGACTGTTACACTCGTTTGTCTTCAGAAATGATCTGTAGCACTCCTATTATGGGCCAGGCACAGCTAGACTCCGGAAATGCAGGGGTGAGCAGGCGGGTGTGACTATAGCGGAGTTAGAGAAGTTAGGAGGAGCTTCTAGGAAAAGAAGGGTGTTCTAGGAGGAGGAGCTAGAGTGACATGGAGACATTGGAGGTTTTACAGGGAATTGGTGGATTATGTAAATGAATTCTGGTACTATTTTATTATTTTTTTTAAAAAAATTTAATCCTCACCCAAGAATATTTTTCCATCTTTTTTTTTAAGAGAGAAAAGAAGGGAGGGGAAGAGAGAGAGAGAGAGAGAGAGAGAGAGAGAGTTAAGAGAGAGAAGAAGGGAGGGGAACAGGAGAGAGAGAGAAACATTGATGTGAGAGAGACATCGATCCGTTGCCTCCTGCACGTTCCTGACCTGGGTCCGGAGATCAAGCCTGCAACAGAGATCCCTGCCCTTGACCAAAATTGAGCCCAGGACCCATCGGTCCGAGGGCTGATGCTCTATCCACTGGGCCACACCAGCGAGGGCTCTGCTACTATTTTAGAAGATCAACTGAACACCACCTGGCAAGCCCTGGGGATACCTGAGTGAGCAAAGTCACCATTGTCGATAGGATTGCCAGATGTCGGGGGGGGGGGGGGGAAGCAACCGTTTAAATTCGAATTTCACAGCACGCAGTATTTTAGTTATTCGTTGTTTATCTGAAATGCAAACCCCGTCAGGCATCCTGTGTTTTTTACCTGGGAACAATAATTTGGGGGAATGGAGGTGTTTGGGGAGAGAGAGTTAGTACAGGGGACATGGGGCATTGGAGGGTAACTGGGTGGTAGGAAGAGGGGCTGGGGACACTGAAGAAAAAGAGGAGTGTTGAAGCCAACGCTAGCACCAGCGCTCACTGTGTGCCCAGGGTTATGCTAAGTGGTTTTTGTTTTGAAAAACTTCACTCTGAAAATTGTCAACCTTATACAATAGTAGAGCAGCCCTGGCTGGTTTGGCTCAATGGGTAGAGCGCAGGCCTGCAGATTGAAGGGTCCCAGGTTCGATTCCGGTCAAGGGCACATGCCCGGATCGCGGGCTCCATCCCCAGTGTGGGGCGTGCAGGAGGCAGCCGATCAATGATTCTCTCTCATCATGGATGTTTCAATCTCTCTCTCCCTCTCCCTTCCTCTCTGTAAAAAATCAATAAAAATATATAAACAAAATAGTAGAACAGATGATACAATGAGCTACTTTACTATTTGTGCTTTATGAGCGCACCATATTTTTAAAACGTATTTTTATTGATTCCAGAGAGGAAAAAGAACCTCGGGCCAGGATTTTATTTTATTTTATTTTTTTCGGGCCAGGATTTAAAAAAAAAAAAATGTTACCTCCCAGGAGAGGATTCATTGCCTCGGACAGCCCTAGCTAAAGCAACCACCTCCCCCTTCCCACCCCAGCAGCTATCCCAGCCCTTTGTAGTATTTCTTTTATTTTTTTAATATTTCTTTATTGATTTCAGAGAGGAAGGGAGAAGGAGAGAGAAATAGAAACATCAATGATGAGAGAGAATCATTGATCAGCTGCCTCCTGCACACCCCCAACTGGGGATCGAGCCCCGCAACCCAGGCATGTGCCCTTGGCCAGAATCGAACCTGGGACCTCAAAGTCCACAGGCCAAACCGGTTAGGGCTCCTTCTTTTTTTTATAGCCAAGTAGTATTCCATTGTGTAAATGTACCACAGTTTTTTTATCCACTCACCTTCTGATGGGCACTTGGGTTGCTTTTACATCTTCTCCACTAGGGGGAGGCCTTGTTCCGTTCACCATGGAAATTGCAGCGCCCAGAACTGTGCCTGGCACAGAGGAAAGGAACGCTCCATGAATGATGTTGATTAAATGAATGGAGGCTATTCAGAATAAAGGAGCAGTGATATTGTAGGGGGTTACGAGAAAGAGACATATGGGAGGTGAAGGGACATAGGAGAGGAATTGATAACCAGGAATTTGGGGTGATAAAGGAGGAACTGGGGCACAAGGAAGCAAGGAGGACATTAGCAAATGGATGGGGAGGTGGTTGAGGAGGACTTGGGATGTTCTAAAGAATTCACTGTTATCTGTAGGATTATTAAAGTGCCAGTGCCTCAGTCTCCTCATCTGTAAAATGGGAACAATAATAGTCATCTCACAAGTATGCGGATCATCTGAGGTAACACATGGAATCTGTCATCATCAAAATAA